GCCTGCAAACAGCCGGTGTGCGGTGGTGCGCGCCCCGAGGTGAACACAGAACTCACAAGCCCTGGCAGCGGGGGACCCCCACCCTGTTTAGAAATGCAATGGGGGAGAATGGAGCTGCGCTGGAACCTCAATCTGGGAACCTACCCTTTCCCTTGTGCGCCCTGAGCCCCTCTCCAGGCTCCTGGTGGAGTCCCAGAGGCACCCCCCCTCAACGCCCAGCTGTACCGCGGCTCCGTCCCCCCCCCCCCCCCCCCCCCAGTTCTCCAAGGGCTTCACTTGGTCTCTGGGGCGGATAATTACCCTCCGCTCCTCTGTTCTCCCTTGTTTCAAGTTTGTTTTCCAAATGTCTATTAGATTATATTCGTTCATTCCCCCTCCAACCTTATCTCTTTTCTGTCTCTTCTCTCCTGGCCCCGTCACACTCGATTTAGGCACGAGTTTATCTGGCAAACAGTTAGCGGACTTTGTTTATTTGCCGTGGGTTCTGGGACGACAAGCGAGCGAGCGCCCGTGTTTGCCTTTGTAATAGTTATCTCCTTGTTCTTCCTCGGCCTCAGCTCCCTCCTCCCCTCTCTCTTCTCCGGTTGGGGGGATGGAGGGAAGAAAGGGGGAGTCTTGTCAGCCCCGCGAAGACCCGCCAGGAGCCCTTCGGCTGGGATCTTCCTCCCAACCTCAGCCCCCTCGGCTCATCCCACCCACCCCCGTCACTAGGGCCCCGCGGAGCCCTCGCCCCCGCCCTCCCCCTCTCCCCCTCTGGTCTCACTAAATATCCACCACCCAGCGCTGCCTGAAGCTGGGAATTGCCCGACACCCTCCCATCTTCCTCCGAGCCCCCATTATGCGAAGCTGATCCCACTCTGAACAGCTTCAAATCCCGCCTGGACTCTGTTTGATTAGATTGCCAACCCGGGGTAATCCTTTGATTTGGTGGAGTGTCAATTACCTTTCTCTAAACACACATTTACAGAGGAGGGAACTTGTTGGTTTAAATCAATGCAGATTGTTTCTTGATAAATGGACTATCTTCGTCTCCTCCCTTGCTCCTTCTTCCAAGGCTCCTCTCCCTCTGCGCCCCCTCCCCTCTCCTCCCCTGTTCTCTCCCATCCGGTAAACAATGCCCCTTCCAGGTGTGAAGCTGGGGAGAAAAAAAAAAAACGGCGTGGGCTGAGGGGGGCCGTGCCCCCCTTCCCCTATTCATTCGCTCCCCCGGAGCCTAATTAAATTTGGCAGGTCCTTGTACACACAATCAAAACAGCTTCCTCCTGTGTAGCAAACCACCGAAAACCGCATTAGCAGTTACCGCCGCTGCCAAATTAAATTGTTTCCCACCTCCTTTTACAAGTGTCTAAAACCGACACTCGGAATCCTCCCTCCTTTCCAAGCTTTCCCCGTCATTTCCCACTCCACACCTGTACGTTTGCTGCTTTAAAAGTAAATCAAGGTAAAAGGCAAAGGAACCCAAATCTCCTGTCCCACGCATACCTGGGCCCCCACCTCAGATGGTCTTTCAGACCAGGGAAGTCAGCAAATTCTCAGATGGCCTTTGGTACTGGTACCCGCCCCCCTCAGAAATATGCACACTCTTCCCTTTTAATCCAGTTACTTTTTGCCTTATTTCATATTAATTGTGACCCTGCTGGGCTTTCTGCCCTAGAGAACAATGTGGAGCCCCAGGTCTGATCTGGTCAGTTTCAGCCTAAGTTTGTACATTGTCCAAGGCTGGAGGCTTTGATGTTCTTATTGTTATTGCTTTTACTATCATTGTTGCTTATTTCTCCACACTGGCTACCTCAGCTCCCACAGAAGAGCGGTTTGTCTGAGTGCAAACGCCTATCAAATTTCCTACAACAGTCTTCCTGGGCTCAGGTTAGGAAAATCTCGTTCCTTCTTGTCCCTCCTCAAACCCTTTCCTGGTTGGGTCCCTGGCCCTTCGGTCCCCTGATCTTCCGAGAAGGGATACGGAGGAGAGAGTCCGAATGGAGGAGGGAAAGGAACTGTCCACTTCCCTCTCCAGGTGAGCAGAGCCTGGCTGGAGCCCCTATCCACAGCGGGTCTTCGAATTCTCACAACCAACAATCCTAATAACTCAGCCTTAACAAGGATAAGAGGGGAAAAAAAAATATGAACAGCCTCATGAATATCAGCCCAAGGGAAGCAGGAGTGAGCTGTTCAGAGATGAAAGTGCACAGAAATAAAAGCTCAATTTAATCTGCTTTAAAACCCTTCAACTTAACGTTTGTGCTTCAAACTCCGAGAGTGAGGACTGATTGCGGATAAATAGTTTCTTACCATGCCTGGAAGCTATTACACCCCTCTCCAACACAGTTTCCTATTCAGCAGCCCCAGTTTTCATTACCAGCTCTAATAAGTCTTAACATTATTAAATGCCAAGCGGACGATAGGAAAAAACGGACTCAGGGAGGGATCTCTCTTTAGCGCTTAAAGAGGAGAGTTCTTAAACCCCTTCTTCCGTGGCTCCCCGCCACGAGTGGGGCAACCTCCTGAGAAAGCATTTGTCAAAAGCAAGGAGCCAAAACAAAGTTTGTTGGATGTGCACCCCTCCCCTTGCTCTGCTCACGGGGCCTCTCTGCCTCTCCCCATCTGGTCCACTTGGGTGGAGGTTGGGAGGTCTTTTCACCTTTAACTTGGCCATGATGTCTGGGGCCTGGGAGAGAGATGAGAGGTTCCAGTTCACCAGGGTGCCCATGGACTGGCCCAGGTACCACACCAGGAACTGACATGATTTGTCCACAGATGGTCAGACAACCCTATCGGCACACTGTCCATGTACACCCATCACCATGGCACTGCACAGCCAGACAGAATCCCACTTGCTCGGAATACAATCCACGCACTCCGGTCCAAAGGCCTATGGGCAAACGGTCACACCGAAAGACACACAGGCCCACAGGGCCATCTAGCTCACAGTCACAATGCCCAAAATGCCCACTGTCACTCAAACACTGCCGGGCATTTGGGCCACCAGGCCTGAGGCTTTCATTTCATCTCGCAGCTCCACAGACTCAGGCCCCATGCCCGCAGCCTTCTCGTCTGGAACTGCCAGGCTCCTCCTCTAGTCCCGGAGACGTGGAGCTTCCTGGTTCCGCCGCAGGAAAAACCTCCATCGAGCGAAGTCGCCCGGTGGCTGGTTCTGTAAGCCCAGACTTGCACTGGAAGTCCCCCGAACTCCTCTGAGTCAAAGGGATTCCCCAAACCACACAGTCTTTCCATTCTCTTCATTTCCCCCTTTTCTCAAAAGAAATGAATCTATTGTGCTTCCTCACAGACTGAATGAGGCATATCTGCGCCACACACACCCCTAAAGTCTCTCCAAACAAAACCAAATCTCCTTGCACTTCACCCAGGGTACCTCCAAGATGCAGGGTCTGCTGTGCAGTATTTGGTGGGAAAGATTATTCAAGTTTTACGCATCCCACCCTACAAGAAAGAAGTCCAACTAAGTACCTTTCCAGTACAGACTGAAGTAAGGACTGGGTCCCCCCACTACCACCAGGAGTGCCAGGGCTCTGGGCAGGCTCAGATGAGCCAGGGGCTGCTAGGCAGTGGCAGGCCTCCTGCTGCAGACCCGGCCCCTCAGCAGGCCCTGGCCCCTCAGCAGGCCCCGCACAGCGGGGTCCCAGGCACAGCTCGCTCTCATTCTTCCCTTGCTCTTTTGTCCCCAGTGGGACAGGGTTCCACTTGGGGCCCTGAATGTCAATAGCCTGCCCCGTCCCAGCTCCAGGCTGCTCTCACAAGGGGCTGCCCCTGCCCCCTCCAGCTTTCCCCCTCCAACGAGGCCAGTGGGGGCTGCGCCTCGCTGGGCTTTGTCTGTGAAGTTCACCTTCAAGGTTGGGAGAGACAACTAAAAACTGGAGAGAGACCTGGGCTGGTAGTTCACAGGAAGCAAGGAGGGGGGACTTGAGTAACCTCTGGAAGGAAACTCCAACATACTGTGCTCTTGACAAGTTTCTGCACTTTTCCCAAAGCCACTGTTTCCCAGGCTTGCGTAGCCACTGTCTTTCCTGATGCCTCCCCGCGTGTGTACTCGGGGACCTGCTTCTTTTCCTGTTGGTCTGTGGCTCTAGGTCTTCTATTTCTCCCCACGTCCTTACTTAACGCACACTTACCAATCTCAAAGACAACTACGAGGGGAAGAGGTATCTAGAAGGGACTTTCCCTTCTGAAACTTCCGGGTCAGTAACCCCGAAAGCACACCCCCTTTTCCAGGCACGAAGGCGCTTGAAAGATAAACGCCCTCACTAGCTCGTCTCCGGGTTGCTGGGCTCAGACTCCAGCTGGCAAAGCTGCCGCCGAAGGGGGGAGAGGGCGTGCGCAGCCCCAGTCTCTCTCCTTTCCTGGGATCCTCCTACCCAGGCTCGGAGAGCTTCACCTCGACTCCTGGCCCCGCCGGAGGAGAGCTCCTTCATGGTTCACCCATCTGCCTCCCACTCCGCGCCGTCTGGCTTGGACCCTGGCAACGCGGAAATGAGAGGCGGCGGCCCACGCGGCCCTCGCTAATTTTTATTGATTGCGGCGGTCAGTCAACTGTCAGGCAGGGTTTCAAGGGACCGTTTAGAGAGCCTGTGCGGGTCTGGTTAACAAATTCATTTAGGGAGCCGCAGGCCGGCTCCTCCTTCCTCGCCCCCCGCCCCCCTTGCCCAAGTTTCCTATAAATAATAGATCGACACGGACCTGCAGCCAAAACGCCAGCTCCGGAGGACACGCATCCCGGAGTCGGCTCGACCAGGAGCGCAGTTGGCGGCGCAGGGCGCACGAACCTGCAGCCGAGCTGCCGCGGGACGGCTCCGCTCCCTGCCGGGCCCCGGGGCGCACCGAGGGGGGCGCTCTCTGCCAACCCTGAGAGGCTCCTGGCTGCCCGGGGCTGCGAGTTCTGCTCAAGTTCAGTCCGCCAGTCTGGGGCGACAGAAGCAAAGCCCAGGCCCGCACACGAGCGCTGGGGAGAACGCGGACTCCGGCGTCGCGCCCGGGGGGCTCCCTACCTTTGTCGCCCAGGATGCCATCGATGCTGTGCTTGGCTTTCTTCTCACCGTCGTCTTCTTTCCTGTCCGCCTCGTCCTCCTCCTCTTTCTTCCCGAACTTGATTCTGAGCACGCGGCTAATCGAACTCACTAAACCTCAGAAATTCAAAGGCAAAAGAGCGAGTATAAGTTGTTGGGGGCAAGGGAGTGCAGGCCTCCTGGGCCCCTGGGAGAAAGTCCTGAAGCCCCTTCACCCTAACATACTGCACGGGGTCCACACCCACATTTACACCGGCACTGCCAGTCGCCTTTTGGGGAGCCTGACTCATACCGGGGTCACCCATGTGGTGGCAAGACTGGCAGAAACACCCACCTGTGCATTCCATGTGCCTGACACTATTACATACCCTGGGTGCCCTCACATCCATACCCACCCAGCGCGGCTGCTGCCAGCCCACTCAGGTGTGTCCCAGCCCTGAATGCCTGCGTGCCCATGCACACGCACACCCCACACAGGCAGCATGGTTCAGGGCCTCCACAGCTGACACCCACTGGTGGCCTGGTGGCAGCAACACAACAGAAATGGTGACTTGAGGAGGGGTGTCCAGGGAGCCCACGGAGATCAAACCTCCTGGGACAAATCCACCTCCAGACCTCTGAGACGGTGCCCAGGGAGCTTTTGTCTTTTTACCCAACTTTGTAGGCTAACTTTTTTGCCCTTCCTTCCTTCCTCCCTCCTTCTCCCCCTCCTTCTTTCCCTCCCTCTCCCCTTCCTCCTTCTTCCTTTCTATCTTTATTTTGGTTTTGATTCCCTCCTGTGAGCGCTCGAGCGCTCTCTCTCTCTCTCTCTCCCTCCCCCTTCTTGCTCCCTTTTCCTTCCAACTTTCCTCCAAGTTCTCCACCATGCATCATCTCCCACACATCCAGCGCGCACACCCGGAGTCCTGGCCGGATCCAGGCAAGCTCCGCTGGCTCAGCTGCCTTCTCACCTGAGGGCACGGTGCTGCGGTCACAGTGCCCGTCCTTCAGCAGCCGGTCTCGGATCTCCCAGCTGAACATGCCCGGGTTTTCCCTCTTGTACTCCTCTATCTTTTTCTCCACATCCGGAGTCGCCACCTGCTTCAGAGGTGGAGGTGGGAGAGTAGGAGCGGAAAGATGGGGTGGGGGGAGGGAGATACTTTTAATATCAACCTCCCAAGAGCCCCAGGCCAAGCTGGTGGCTCTGGTAGCCATGCCCTTCTTCTGAAACTGGCTTTATCCTTTCAAGAAACCTGTTCTGGCTCCAAGGAAGGCAGCAGGGTGGGATGGGGATGGGGCAGTGATAGATAATGAAACAGAAACCTCATCAGGACCCTCAGGACCCCCTCCTCACTATTTCTGGCAAGACTGAAGGAAGATTATCCCTGGTCTGGGATGATGATAGGGGGTCTGGACAGAGGTAGGAACAGAGGTAGGAAGAGCCCAGGAATAACTCATTGGCCTCAAAGTCCTGGGTCACCTAGACCTCAGTTATTTCCACCCCTGAGAAAGTCAAACAATGGGGAGGAATATCTGGGGGTGGGGACACTCTCCCACTGTATTTTCTTTAAGAAGCATATAGTCACCGGTGTTACTGAATGACACAGGGTAGTGAAAGGGGCCACAGCCAGGATCCCCCACCATGGGAAAGCCAGCTGCCTGCTCCAGGGCACAGACACTCACTCTGGGCTTGCTGCCTCCGATGGCCCCAGGCCGGATGGACCCGGTCTCCTGGTATCGGCAGAGAATCTTGGAGACGCAGCCGTGGGAGACGCGCAGCTGACGGGAGATGACACAGGGCCGAATGCCATGGTGGGCCATCTCCACTATCTTGTGGCGGATGTGGTTAGGCAGGGGTCGCCCATTGATGAAGACCCCACCAAGCTGATTGACCCGGCCTTGGCCAAGCGGGGTGGACACTGGAGAAGGGAGGGGAGGGGAGGAAAGAGAGAGGCACAGCATGAGGATGGGGAGGAGACACTGAGTACACCTCTTGCCTCCAGTTTTTCTTGAGCTGCAAACTCTGACAGCTCCGAGTTCCTCACATTGGGAGCGGTGGCAGTTCAGCAATCAGAGAAAAAAAATCGTCATGAAGCCGAAGAAGGGTCCTGCAGGGGTGGAGAGAGGGTGCACGGCTGGCTGCTAGAGTCCGCTCAGGTGCTGTAGGTCCCCAGTCCTGCCAGACTAAGGGGGGTGAGGACACACCCGAAGGATCTGAATGCCTCTGAGAGGAGGAGGAGAGACAGAGGCAGTGTGGTGGAGTCTGGAGGCTCTGGGACTATGGGTGTCTCCCCACGGGTGCACCTTGGGCTGCAGGTCTGCCTGCCTCTCAGAGATGCCAGGACCCAAGAGATGTGGCCCATCTGGTCAGTTCTATGCTCTGTGTGGTCAAGACTGATACGTTTTGTTGGGGGCCAGAAGGGGCTGGCTGATTACTAGTATTTACAGTCCCGGCCTGGGCCACAGATCTGTCCTACCCATACCTGAATAGCCGAGGACGGGTGACATAATGCTGTTCGCCACTGCCTCTGGGGACACCTGGCTGTCCCTCTAGGGACTCCCCTTGTTTCTAACCACTCTCAAAGTTCTAATTTCGTTTGGGGACCATTTGGGGACATACTCCATTGTTGGCAGTCTCCTAAACGAAGTAACCGCTTGGCCTCAAAAGTCCATGGACTGTCCCTGCAGGCTCTGAGAGGCTGGTACAGATGGCCAGAGTCCCTGGGTGTGGGTGACTTTGGGAACCAGGGAGACAGGCAGTCCTGGTGTGTGCTGGGGAGGGTGACGCTTGCTTCAGAAGCCTTAATGCAAAGTCTACACAGTTCCCTGTGAGAAGGTTGGGGGACACCCGGTACACTAATCCAGCCTCGATCCCCCCAATTTGGGGACTCGGCGGCTGCGGAGATCTGGCAGATTAGAACGATTTCACAGCCGCCATGGTGGAGGGAGCCGACAGGATAATTGGAAGGGAGGAGGCGAGAAGAGGCTCCGGCTGCCGCGCTGTTCCTACCGCCTCCTCCCTCGCTCTCCCGGTCCCCCCACCTCTCTTTGTAAAAGTAGGTGTCTGAAGCCACCCTCGGATTTAATCAGAAATCGTGCGTCGCCAAGTCAGAGTCACTCGGTCTCCGTGGCGGGATATGCCATTAGCGCTCGAGAGCTCTCGAGCGCCCAACTTTATATTCAAGAGCCTCTTTAGCGACCGGCACTCGGCTCTCCTCAGTATTCTCCGTCATGTTGGGCAAATATTGTTCTAATCCGCGGCCGTCCTCGGCCGCCTGCTTCACTTGCATGCGCTACAGGAGTGCGCTGCGGCAAATCCCCGGGCTTGCGCGCGCTCCGCCTGCGTGGCTCCTCGCGCGCACTTGATCACGGAGCCACTCTGGCCGCCTCCGTCTAATCCAGGGACCCGCGCCGCCTGGCTGCCACAGGGGCCCCCTCCCCAGATCGCAGGCTGCCGCCCGCCCATCCCCTCCCTGCCTCCTCTCCCCTGCCTCACGCACCCGCCGCTCAGATAATTACAAGAAGAGTAATTAAAAAATAAAAGTCGCACCTATCCCGAGCCACGTCTCTAAGAAACCCTGGGCTATCTTCCTCCGGGAGCTGCATGATCTCCCAGTTGACAGGTGGAAGACCTTCCATTCGTTGAAAAAGAAAACAAAACAAAAAGGCCGGGAAGGGTCCCGGCGGCGGGCTCCCAGCACGCTCTCCAACCGGGAGTCGGTCCACGGCCCGTCCACTCTGCTCACCCCGGTGCTGGAGATTTCGGGAGGACACATTGCAAAACGAACACTTCCCCTCGTCTGCACGTCGGGGTGCCCTCTTGCCATCTGGAAGTTCTCTCCTGGGAGATTTCCGGAGTTCGGAAGCCCGAGTGAAAAGTTTGGGAGAGGGTGGAAATTCGTTCCTATTTATCATTTCCAATAATTTTTTTTTCTTCCCCAGACCCAAAAAGCAGGAGTGTTGCTCTGGAAGAAGAAAATAGCCCTTACTCCTTACATAGAAAATATCACACCTTGTCGCTATTTCGAAATAAAAGGGATCGGAAGAACATCCCGGGGTGAAAATAATAATTCAAAACAGGAGTAGAAAGCCCGTGGCGGATGAACGCTGAGAGTCGAGAAGGTATCTGAGGGGGAAAAGAGTATCCAAAAGCAGTGGAAAGAACTGAAATCACTACGACCTGAAATTGACTAGGAGTCCAAATCTACGCATTTAACTCTGCGGGTAATGGCCAGAGCCCACGACCCGTGAAGCTGAGGCCGAGGGTCAGTGAAACCAAAGCAAAACCGGACAAGTGTCGGTCCCAGAAACTTCCTGGGTCTGGCGCCCGGACTTGGACCTAGAAGAGAAGGGGACCTCCGTGCTGTCGCCGGCGCCGCCACCACCCCTGGAGATGGCCACCTCTCCGAGGACCTGGAGTTCCCGGCGGAGGAGCGAGACGAGGCAAGCCCCGCGCCCTTACCTTCCAGAGGAAACCCGGTGCGGGGGTAGTTCTGCCCGGGCGCCGGCCGCATCATCCTCGGTACTGTGCCGGGAAGGGCCGCCATTCTCGCGCGCGCCGGGGACGACTCCGGAGTCCGCAAAAATCGCTTCCCGTCCTTTGCCTTCACCCCTGCTGCGATCTCTTTCTTTCGTTCTTCTTCTTCTTCTTCTTTTTTTCTTTTTTTTTTTAACCTCTTCCCGATCCCCTCCCCACACACTGCCTACCCCCACCCCCCCACCCCCGGCTGCAGTCAACGCGTCCAGAAGCTGGGGAGGGGGGTGAGGTGGGGGCGGAGGTTGGGGGAGGGAAGGTGGCGACAAGGAAGTTCAAACAAACAAACACACCAACCCCAAGTCCGCCTCTGCCCGCTCCGTTGGGCCAGAAGTTGTGCGGGCGGATGCGCCCGGCAGACCCGGGGGAGGCGGCCAGAGTCAGGGCCCCCAGCCTGAGACTGGCGAGCGCCGCGCTCTCGCGCTCCGGGCCAAAGTTTCTGCGCCGGGAGGCTGCAGACTGGATTCTTTTTCGTATTTATTTATATATTTATTCCCTCGCTCTCGCTCCCGCCCCTCCTCTCCACGCCTTTCTCCAGACCACACTCCTACTCCCTAACCCAGAAGCTTCCACACCCCCGCCCCCGGGACGCTTGGGGAGGGAAGAAGGTGCCTCTGGGGTTTCGGGGCGTGAGGGGAGGCGTCAGGGGGTGACGAGGGAAAGCGAGGGGGCCAGTGATTCTCTGGGTAAGTTGTGCAAAAGTGCTCAACTGGAGGAGGAGGAGAAGGAGGCGGCGAACGAGATCTGATAGGTTCGGACTTTTCTTTTATTTATGAGGAGGGAAGGGGGCCCGGGCGGAAGGTAGCCGACAACCAATAACGAAAAGAAGTCGCCAACGAATATTTTTTCTCTTTTCTAATCCCCGACTCGACTTGGTTTTGGGGGGAGAATTTGAACTGCCCGTTAAAACAGAGGGAGCAAAGGCCGGGGGTCGAGGGAGGAGGGAGCCGGGAGGGGGCTAACTTTGTCCAAGTGTCTTGGTTTGACGAATGGGCCGGTCCCCGGAGCGCCCAGCCCCCTGGTCGCCCGCGGCCCCTCTCGGCTGCATGGGAATGTCTGCCTCCGGCTGGTGGCTCCTCTGGACTCTCGCCTTTTCTCTGGCCTCCCAGGGGCACAGTCCACTGTATTTCACCTCGTCTCCTTCATTTCATTCACACACTGAATTTTCCGCGAGTAGGGCCGCGGGTGCCTTCAAGGAGCGATTTATGATTTTCTCTGAAATACTGTCAGAGCCCGAGTGTCCGGCTCTGGCCCGGCCTCCCGCAGCTCCGAGAAGCCCAAAGGGACTCGGCAGGGTCTAGTACTTAGAAAACTGGGTCTGCCCAGCGTTAAGGACGCATCTCTTCCTCCCCTCCCCTCCCCTTCCCCCATCCCTGTCCGACTCCAGTCGGTTAAAACCCGTCCTCCTCTTCCGGCTCCCAGGCCACACCCGGACCCTTTCCAGCAGGTAGTCCGGTTCCTGAGGCTGCACCGCAAGCGGGTGCCCGGGATCGGAGGGTCCAGAGGGGTGGGAGGGAGGGAGCGCGTCAGCAGCATTTGGTACCACCCTGAGCTCATCAGTTCGGAGCTCCTCCGCTCAGAATGCGAAGGAGGCAATGCCCGGATTGAACGGTCAGGAGTTGGGGGTGGGGTGATCAGAGGTCCCGAAATTCTTCGCTTCCTGGGCCAGCGTGACCAGACGCCCCAGCCTCGGACACTGAGTCCCGGGGGCGAAACGCCCTCCCAGCGGGGCAGGACGCCGCGACGGCAGGCCTTTTGTCTCCCCGGGGAAAGAGCGTCTCCAGCCCCGCGCTGCAGGCAAAATACAATAAAATAAACCCAGCCCCCAAACTCGCCCAAACCCACCAGCCCGCCCCCTGCCCGCCCCCTCCCGGCGCTGGGGTCAGCCTGGTCTTGGCCTGGGGGGCTTTCCTCAGGCTGGCCCCACTGTGCCCCCTCCCCTCCCCTTTTCCTCACCTGTGACCTTTGCCCTCTCAGCATGTGACACGCTCCCTCCTCTCCGCTCTCGCAGCACCGGGGGCTTCTCAGGCTCTTGAGGGGAGGGGGAGGCCTCTAGGAAGGGGAGCCTACTGAAAAGCGATTAAACCCACCCCTTCCGGTGGCCCCAGAATTGAAAGGGGGAGGCCAAGTAGCTTTAGAATTTAAAAGGGAGCACCAGGGTGCTGTGCCCAGACCAGGGTGCCAGGCTGCCTGAGTTATAGGGGCTATACAAGGTTTTCTGGTTCCCCCTCTTCATCGGAGGTGCCACTCCACTATACCCACTGCCCCCAGGAGAGATTAAGAGATGAAATTTCAAGCCATAGTGTGTATGTGTCTGGGAAAGATGAATTAGACTGAATTCCCTTTACATCTCATCTTGCTGGAGGGTCTGGCCTGCCTAGACCCCCAGGTGGCTGTATATTTCATGTACATATATGTAGACATATACCTTCATATATGTATGTAATGCACAAAGATATATCACATATATTGTCCTTTTTTCATTCATTCATTCATTCATTCATTCATTCATTCATCGATCACTGATTTCCCTCTTGGCTTGGAAGAATTTGAGGTATCTCTTCTCTGTAGTGTGGGTGGACCAGCCAGTGTGTCTGTGTGTAGGTGAAGCTGGTTGGTGTGTAGGTCTGCTGGGGCTGCAGCCCAGTCTGAGTGTGTGTTTATGCTTTGGGATCTCTTCCATGGTGCCTTAGGGTAGCTCCGAGTGCCCTCAAGAAGGTGTAAGAGTTGTTTAGGTCAGTCCCCGGGGAGAAAAGACCTGTGAAGACTCTGTCCCTCCTCTGGACACATCTAAGGAAGCGGGTGGGACGGGCATCAGCAGGACCCCTGGGTTCGGGGCCCACCAGTCAGCTGCTGCTGAGCACGCTGGACCTCAGGCGATCTGAGACCACCTGACCTTGGCACAGTTCCTGCCCCTCTGGCAGCAGACTTGGAGCTGTGGCTCCAGTAGCAAGGGACCCCCACCCCCGGCAAACCTGGCGCTGGTGGCGCCAACCCCACGTTCTCACAGCTTGGGATTCCGTGGGGTCCTATGGGGCAGGCGAGGGGGAGGAAGGGGTGTCTGTCGGAATGAGCGTGGCCTTTCTCGCCTGTTGGAGACCAATTTCACAAATGATTTTTGTAACAATTAAGAAGTGTGGCGGGGTGAAATGGCGATTTCACATCCTGCAGGGGGAAAGGGGGGTTCACCTGGGAACTGGGGCGGCTGCAGACAGAGGTGAGGGAAATTTTCCCCCTCCTCCCAGTTCCTCTTGCTCACCTCCTTGCCCCAATTCACCCCCAAAGAGACATTAATGGACTTCTAAGACCTCCAATCGCTGCTGTAAGCGCGGAGGGGCACCTTCAGCTGCTGTTGGGTTGGTGTGGGTGTCGGGTTGGGCTTGGCTTGGAGAGTTTCCCTTTTGGCCCCTCATCCTGTTCTCTCTGTGTCTCTCCCTGCTTCTTCCCCCCTCCCTCCTCTCTCTCTTTCTCTCTCTCTCACACACACATAACACACACTTTTCTGTCTGTCTCTGTGCCCCACACTCTGTCTCTGTGTCTCACAGGGCCTTCCATCTTGTATTGTCTCTTTCTCTTTCCTCCTGCCTTTCTGACTTCTCCCAGCAGTTGCCTCTCTCAGTCTGTTCCTTGTCCACCGCCTCCCCCATCTCCATGGTTTCCTGAGGTATGTCCAGCCCTCTTGGCGCTGTGGGCTGTAACTCAGACCTGAATCCCTGGGAGAGCCCTTTGGTCCCCTTGGGGTGGGGCAAAGACCTCCGGAGGGGCCGCTTCTCTGCTTGGAGTCTACTTGGGGCTGTTCCTAGAGGAGCATCTCCGGGCCCAGCCCAGCCTGATTCCAGCACCCCCCCCCCCCAAAAGTCGCCCCTGTGCCAGCAGTCTCTGGTGGGATAACTGTTCCTTACCTCCACCTCTCTCTGTCTGTACTGAGATCTTGCCCCAAACACACACCCTTCATTTTTCAGGGCAACAACAGGGTTCATAGAAATTATTTCTCCCAAGTTCCTAAATCGAATCCTCCAAACCCAATTAAACTGGGAAAGAAAAACATAGGCCCAAGGATCTAGGAGCGAGACCCCAGGCTGCCATCAGCTGGGGAAGCTGGCCTTTCTTTGGCTGCTCCCGTCCCGACTGTAAGTGATGGAAGGTGAGACAACCACTGTCTACCACTACTGCTGCTGGGGCTCCCTTCTCCCTGCCCCCAAGTGCCCAGTGGCCCGTTCCCCAGCCCCAGGAGGAGGACACTCCTTATTTCACATCTCTGCAATGAACACTTTTTGAATGCAATTGCCCAATAAACCTTCCTTTAAAGGGTGATAAATCCACCTTGAAAACCAGGGGTTTTGATTTCAGTGGGGCCTTTTGCATTTTCAGAGGCTCCAGCCCAAGACATGCACAAATGGAATTATTCAGTCTTCAAATGTTTGATAATGAGAGAGGAGGGGGCGGCGTGGGGGTGGGGAGAGAAACGGAATATCCATGAACAAAGGACGCTCTGGAGGCTCGCTCCAGGTTCCGGATGCTGGAATGCCTCAGTGCCGTGTTCGAAGAGGCACTCTTGGAAAAGAACACCTTTCCACACTCCCCCAATCTTTTCTTCTTATTTCTCTCTTAAGAAGTAGCACTCTTCAAAGAGAGACCTTGAAATATCTGCCCAAACCTGAGCAGGAAGGAAAGGGAAACTGCAATGTTTTCTTCCTTTGACGTTTTTATTTTCCCAGAAAAAGAAAATAGACTGTGTTGGGTTCCGGTGCTCGAGGTAAATAGCAACGGCAATAATAATAATCTGGCTTCTCCCAGGTCCACTGCTAAATGGGATTTCCCCGAGTCTTCTTCCTTCTCCCCAGCCCTTCCTCCTCCTCTTCTCCTTCCTCCTCTTGTTCTTCCTCCTTCCTCCTTTCTCTGCTCTTCTTCCTTCTCCTCAGGCTGGTCCTGGGAGCCTCATAGCTCCTGAAGTTCTGGAAATAAAGACTGTGAGCTTCAAACTTAGAGGGAGACGTGGCAGGTGCCCAGATGCCCACCCTGCCAGGTGGCTGGCTGCTGGGACTGCCTCCCCTTCCTCCTCTGGGTTTTCCTTCTTGCGGACTGTTTCCCACTGGCTTTCAGAATCGCAGGCAAGGCCTTCTTCACAGCATGTTCCCCAACACCTGGATAAGCCTTTCCTCTGCCTGGTAATCCCTCTTTCCACCTCTGGCGTGGGAAAGGCCCCCAGTAGAAGAATGCCCCCTGAATCTGGCCCCGGTGCTCCAGAGGGTAGAAGTGACTGTGTGTGCACCGGACTGTGCAAGTAGGCATGTGAGGCTGAGAGCATGTACGTACCTGTATGAGAGTATATGAGCAGGTGAGTGTGCCTGTGTATATAC